TTTCTCAGTGTTCTGAAAACCTGTTGAGCACGCTGACTTTTGTCACTCACCCAGGATCCTGTGTCTGCTCTGTTTACAGGCAGTTCTTGCTGGTCCTTTTCTGAGACTTACGCAGAGGGCACCGATCCTCATGCTCTCAGCTGTGCTTAACTTCTCTTCTTCCTTCTTGATGCTGGCCTCATTCCCAATTCTTGTCGTCTTCCTTATAGTGCTTTCTCTGCATTTCCCCCATAGCACATGACTTCTTCCTTCTCTGTGTTCCTCCCAGTCAGTGTGTAATATTTATTTTATTTATTTATTATGTATAAATATTCTGTCTGTGTGTATGTCTGCAGGCCGGAAGAGGGCACCAGACCTCTTTACAGATGGTTGTGAGCCACCATGTGGTTGCCGGGAATTGAACTCAGGACCTTTGGAAGAGCAGGCAATGCTCTTAACCACTGAGCCATCTCTCCAGCCCCTAAGCTCAAGCTTTTGCATAGAATTTGTAACATGAGACCTCAGGTAGGAGGGTAGTGTCCCTGACCATCACATACCTGGGACTCTGTCCTCGGGCCTATCCAAACCTTCTGTTATTTTGAGGCTGATGAAGGTAGCATATGGAGAGAGAGGTTGTGAGCCTGGGCCTACATGTGACTGGGCTTGTGGCCTTACTAGCTCTGTTCCTACCTCAGAAGCCCTCCAGATGGACGCCTGAAGATTTCTTCCTCGCAGGCCCTTAAGCATGTCCAGGACCTGCTGGGGAAATGGCCGTGTCTCCTGTGGTACTTGTGTCAGGAATGCCCTCATCTGATTCTCTCCCACAGGGACTCCAGCCAGCACCAGCACTTTACCCATCAAACAGGAGGGAGAATCTACAAAGGGAGAATGTCCACCCTCCCCTCCCACAGACAGCCTGCCTTCTGTGGGACCAGGTGAGTGGCAGGAGACACTTGTGGCTGTGGCAGAGCCTCATAGCAGCTCAGAGGGACATTTGTGAGTAGCAGTCAGCCTGTGGTCAACAGGCCTAATGGAAAGTCCTGCTTGAGGACACGCTGCGTGTCTTAGGCGATGGTTTGCTAGTGGCAGGAAGGCTGTTCATGTGGTGCTCTAGCACACAGGAACCCTGCGAGCTGGCCTATCTAGATTCGCAGCTGTGACATTTGGCACTGCACATTGACCTATGGTTTAAATGTAGGGGCTGCACCTGAAGTCCATGTTTTTCTGATAGGGCTCAATGACAAGACCTTTGCTCTCTGCACCTGATGACCACTATCCTCACTTCAGCCTGCACTTTTCATGGCTCTGTCCCTTCACTTATACTGTCTCAGTTCCACCCTTGCATCAGGTGAGACCTGCACTGGGCCCTTATAGGAGTCACAGGCTGATAGGATGGTAGAGGCTCCAGTGGATTTATTTGGGATGAGTGACACACAGGCAAGTCACTCCCATCCCCTCTCCTAGGCCATAGAGGCACTTTCTCTCTGTCTCTGTCTCTCTCTCTGTCTCTCTCTCTGTCTCTCTCTCTCTCTCTCTCTCTGGGGGTGAATATAGCTGACTGGCTTTAAAACTACAGTTTAGCCAAGGCTTGTCTTAAATTTGTGGCAATTCTCCCATCTCAGCTTCCTGAGTGCTGGGATTACAGCCACAAGGCCTCTTAATCATGGTCTGGAAGCAGTTGGGGCCCATGGGCTCCTTGTCCATCTCTATTGTAACTAGTATCATCACAACACTTAGGGTCTTGGTAGCACCGTTGCCATGGCTGAAGTGTCTCCCCACTATAGTCCTACCCATCCATCTTCCAAAGTCAAATCCTGGACTCCATAGGGTTCCTGGCTCCTCTTGGCTTCTGTAACTTTCTCCCTTCTCTGCTCTTCTTAGCTCATCTTCTAAGAATGAGCACAACACAGCAAACAAAGGTGAATAATCCATGAGGCAGACCTGCCCATGGTGTCTGTGAGTAGGACCCCCTGACCTGCTCTGAGGACACTCATAGAAACTGGGCAAGGGAGAAGAGGCCTGAACCTGGAACAGGTTCAAATGGTGAGGGGAGCTGTGTGATTCTCTTGGAAACCAGTCATGATTCCTTTGCTAGGTGGTGGTGCTGTGACCATCAAGACAGAAGCACAGGCCGAGGATGAATCTGAGCAGCAGCTTCTGGAGTTCCTGAGCCAGTCCATGAGCCAGTCCCACAAAAGGCCCAGGACTAGAAGCTCCAGACGGCTTCATGACCAGGGAGTGCCTAGGGTACTGATTAGGGAACCCCAGGCCGCAGAGGCTAGGAAGGAGCCACCCTGTACCCTTCCTCGACGACAACGACAACGACAGCGGGCATTCTCATGCCCTGACTGTGGGGAGAGCTTCCGCTTGAAAATTAATCTGACAATCCATCAGCGGACCCATGTAGAAGAGGACGAACACAGGGAGGTTTGCAGTGATTTGCCTGTTGGGTCAGGGGAAAGCCACTCCACTCTGGAACCAGGGGAGGTGGCGGTACCTGGTCCTATCATCGGCTGGGTACCTCAGAAGCCCACAAGGCACCTTTCCCTGATAAGCAGTGCTTTCCTGAGACAAAGGTCAACAGCTAAGGTTTACCACTGTAGTGAATGCCTGCTCTCCTTCCAGCGACGGAAGACCCTGATACTGCACCAGCGTCAGCACACAGGCATCAAGCAGGGCTGGCCTGCCTGTCCCTACTGTGGCAAGGCCTTCCGCCGGCCCTCAGACCTCTTCCGTCACCAGCGCATCCACACTGGTGAACGTCCCTATCAGTGCCCCAAGTGTGGCCGGGCCTTCAACAGGAACCACCACCTGACTGTCCACATGCACACCCACTCATGAGGCCAGGCTATCCTGTGTTTCCTCATTTTGTCTGTCCACTTGGGAGCCCAGCCCTGAAGAGAAAGGCTGACCAGAGGAGCCTGCCATGGCACCCGCAGGCTCTCCTGAGTACCCTGGTGGGATCTGCACTCTCAGGCCTTTCCCTTGTTCCTGACCTGACATTGGTCCTTCATTCTGGAATGGCTTTGGAGAGTTTTATTGTTTTGTTTTCCACTCAAATACGAAGAAGTCAAAAGGTGTGTGATAGGTGCCTCCATCTCCTGATTCCTCTCTTTTGGACATTCCTGACTCGGGAAAGAATCACCTTTGGCTGGTACTGCAGTCAGTAGGAATAGAAAGTTTTGTCTCTTCCAGGATGGGACAAGAGAGACCTTGGGGAGAAGGTTTGCATGGATGAAAATCTGCAGTCTACTTGAGAAAAAAAGAGTTCACAGATGGCTAAGGGAAGGCCCTGGAAATTTACATTTCTCATTTTTTTAAAATTATTTTTACTTTGTTGCTTTGAGAATGTTTTTCTTGGAGATCCAAAGCTGCTGAGGGGCAGGAACTTTGTGCTACCTCCTCCATTTGGTGCTGACAGGGTGGGAGGGCCTGCTTAGTGTAGACTTGTTTTGGTGGCTTGGCTTGGCTGCTGTTCTGAAAGCAGAGGGCTCAGGTGTGTTGAATGCTCAGGGTGACTCTCACTCTCCTGCCTTCCCCTCGTGTGGCAGTTGCATCCTTTACTAGGAGTTGTGAGGGAAATGGAAGCTAGGAATGAGCCACTCCTCTCAGGTCTCAGGGTTGGTAGTGTGACCCTTTGTGACCTGCAAAAATGCCTAATGGAAACTAGAGCAAGCCCAGGAAGCCCCTCCCTGGGGGAACTCTGGGATGAAGCTAGGGAATCCTTCCACCCTCTTGAGCCTCATGTTCCTTGTCTTACAGAACAGCCCAGATGTCACCGTAGAGTAGTCTGTGTCAGGAGGTGCTATACAAATGCCTATTTTGTCCGTCCTTTTAAGTCTGGGTCTCTTTTCTCTTTGTTGATTTTGTGCCCTTTTTCCCCAGACAGACTCCTTCAGGAAGAACCTCTTTCTTTTTCCAAGTGGCAGTTCCTTCAGTTTCTAGAAAGACTTTCCAGCCAAGCTGGTACTTGAGGGGCCTTTCAAAAGCACCAGCTGAAGCCCAGGGGTTTGAGGTGACAGTCTCAGACCACAATGTCTTGGGGATGGCTGGTTCATTTTGCCTCTTTGCCACGCCATGTTGGGTGCGGCCCACACAGCCTGGTAGGTCCCATCTCTCCTGGTAGTTTGCTCTCTTGTTTGACACTCAAACACCTGAGCATAATCAGGAGGGCTCCTAGGTACCATCATCTGGCTGTGCTATTTTCTGATGCCATTCAGACCCTTGCCTCTCAGAAGCCCTGAACAGATGAGGCAGAGAGTAGCTCTGCCATCATTCCTGGGCCAGGGATAAGTAGACAAGCCGTTGGAAGTTCTGGATCCTCCATGCCTGCTCACCCAACTGTTGTCTAAGCCCCTCAAGCAAGATAACAGCTGTCAGTAAGTGCTCAGACAGGATGTGTACAGTATCTCTGTTTCAAACACAATCCTCAACTGCAAAAGCTCATCCCTGCTGTTCTGGAGGTGCTGGGCTGAGGTTCCTGGGCCTCTTTTCTAATGCTAAATGCTCCCTGGAAACAAGTATTCGACCTTTAAAGCACAAAACAAATGCTAGGGGTGGGGAAAGTGGGTGCTGTGTAACCTTGGTTGGCTTGTGATTTTCCTGCCTCTACCTCCAGAATGCTAGGATTTTCTTGCCTTTTTAAAACAAAGAAATGGTTGGCCCATATGGCTCTAAGAACTATGATGGTGGCAATCTTAGCCTAATTGGTGCTCTATAAACACGTTTGAATAACTACGTGCTTGTGGCCTAGTTTGTACTGGGTAGTCCGAGCTGATGATCGCAGTGGTTCGCTTGGCTCCTCGACGCAGGTGGAGCTCTTAGGAGAAGGGAGCCAGACACCTGGCGCTCGCACCTGCGGGGTGGAGACAACGCGCCCGGACGCTGCGGGCTGGTGCTTCGGCTCAAAGGAGTCTGGGCTCTGCGGCCAGGAGGCAGGACTTCCATGGCTAGCCAATGAGAAGCCTGCTTGCGGAGGGTGGGGCCTGCGATCCAGCCGCGGGAGCTGTGGAGGAGCAGCCGTGACACCGCTAGCTCACGACTCTGTACGTTCTGTCCCGAGGCTATTTGCCCCGGACGGTCGTCCGAGTCTGTTGCGTGTGGGCAAAAGGGACCGTCGGTAGGGAATATCGCAGCGGCAACTCTGAGACGAGGCAGGATCGCGCGCAGCCATGACCGAGGCGGCTGCTGCTCCGGTAAGGGCGGTCGGCACAGACCATGTGGGGATGCGAAACGGTCTCTGAATTTGCCTGGAACACATCTTATCACCTCCTGAAATTGGATTGAGCTCGGTAGAGTCTCAGGGAGGAAGACTAGGACTCCTATGCCTACAGGATAAAGCCCTTGTCTCTTGTCCGGGTTTTGATCATTCATAATATAAGCCAATTGAGCTTAACCAGGAAATGTCTGGGCCCGATACACCGGCTGTGGACGTTTTAACTCCACGGGACTCCTTTTCCGGGATCTCTCCACCATTATTGGCCATCTCAGATCTATTCCTGAGCTAAGGCCCCTCCAGCTAGCCCTTTTGGTCCTGGGAGACATAATCTTGTCCTTACGGGGGTTCCATGGTTTTCAGGCCTGAACTCGATTACATTCAGGGTGGATGCATACACCCTCACCTGCTATTTCCCAATAACCCCCAGGAAGATTTGCTACTGTAGTTGGTAGGGGGGAGTCATCGTTATAGAAGATGTTGGTTAGGTGTGTTTTAAGCCCAGGCTTGACCTATTGGCTTCCAACTCGTGCGAATGAACTGCTGAGATACTGTCTCTGAAGGTAGAGGTCATCTGCTAGCTATAGCAGTAACTTCAGAGACACTTCTAGGTGCCAGATTTGTGGCAAGGGTCACAGAGAAACGAAGATATTTGACCCTTATCTATGAAGACTCCTCCCAGCCATAGCTCATTACTGGTCAGAACCCAGGATGGCACCATGGTGCTGTAAAAGAAGGGAGGAAAGGATAGGTGTCAGTGACAAGTATCCAACTGTGTGGGGCACTTTGCTGTGTCTTTTTATGGAAGATGTCTTGGAGAAAGTTTAGTGTCACAAAAGTTGATTAATTTCAGTCTTTGGTTTATAATATATAAAAATTCTGGTCAGTGGTCTGGAACCTTTGTGTTTATTAGTAATACAGTATAAGATAATGCCATGCAACCTGAGAGCTGGTTCATACCTGTAGCTTATTCTTGACCACCTAAGAGAGAGAAAGTCATGATGTCCTTGTAATTGAGAATACAGAGCCTTAGAGGGAATAGTGTATCTTAGCCCCAACCTGCACAGAATCCAGTTCTGGAAGAGACCTGCTATCCCCACAGAGGAGCTCCTTGCTCTTTGTCTCATTATTTCGTTATACATGAAGCACTCACTGTCCAGCTCCTTTAGACAGGGTATTTTCGGGGTTATTTCCTTTTGACTATGATGCTTGCTTTCAGCTTTCTCTGGCCCCTAAGCTAAGATCAAGCCTTCCAGTGTGGTGACTAATCAGGGGCTGGTTGATGAGGTACCTCAGGAACAGAGACTTTGTGTCCAACTTAACACAAGCAGGAGTCGTCTGAGATGGGGGAACCTCAACTGAGAAAATATCTCCAAAAGGTTGGGCTGTAGACAAGCCTGAAGGGCATTTTCTTAGCTAGTGTTTGGTGTGGGAAGGCCCAGCCTATTGTGGGTGGGCCACATCTGGGCTGGTGGTCCTGAGTTCTGTTTAGAAATTAGGCTGAGAAAACCATGAGGAACAAGCCACTAAACAACACTTCTCGATGGCCTCTGCTTTAACTCCTGCCGCCAGGATCCTGCCCTGACTTCAGCGATAGACAGCGATGTGGAAGTGGAAGCAGAGGAAACCATTTTCTAGTGAAGTTGCTTTGGGTCGTGGTGTTTCACGGCTACAGCAGAAGCCTAACTAAGACACCTTGTGTCGCGGGCAGGTCAGGGATTCACACAGCAGTAGAGTCACTGAGGTGAGAACTGCAGGGCCTCACTATGGGGGAAGCTGCTGTGAGAGGAGGTGAGGGGACTGGGCTGTGGTGGTGCACACCTTTTAATCCCAGCATTCAGGAGGCAGAGGCAGGCAGATCTCTGAGTTCAAGACCAGCTTGGTCTACTGAGTGAGTTCCAGGACAGCCAGGGACATTGAGAAACCCTGTGTGGGGGAGAGGAGGAGCTGAGATTACCATTGGGTTTGTAGGTTTTCTGGTCTTGTTGGGCTGTGTGTCTCCAGAGGACAAAAGGTGGTTAGTAAAAGTAGACTAGTAGGGTTGGGGTTTTCTTTGGGTTTCCAGCCAGCTCCCAAATAAAGACACAGAGACTTATTAATTATGAATGCTGGGCCTTAGCTTAGACTTATCCCACCAGCTCTTTTAACTGAATTTAACCTGTTTCTGTTCGGCTACGCTTTGCCTCGGGGCTTTTTTACCTTTCTTTCATTCTGTCTGCCCTACTTTCCTGCTGCTTCTGTATCTGGCTGGCCCCTGAGCCAAAATTCCTCCTACTTACTCTCCCTGCCCAGAAGCCCTCCCCATACCTCCTCCCTTGCTATTGACCAATCAGGTGCCTTAAGCAGGCAAGCAACACATCTTTACATAGTTCAATATTTGACAACATAAGCAAATGTAACACATCTCACATCTTTTCATTGTAAAATAAATTCATTACATCTTTGCATAGTTAAATAAATATTCTGCAACAGAGCAAGATTAAATCTGGTATACATTTGAATGCTCACTATTTAATTTTCCATTGCAGTGACTCTAGGTTCAGTATTCTTCCCATGAAGGTTCTGTAGGGTCTGGTGTCTGTTGTCTTTGACTGGAGTCTGAACCCATTCCAGAAGATCCTGATCTTACTATACTGAGAACAATTCTTGGCCTTCTTCTGGAAGCCAACCCATCTCCTTGTCTCTGGTCACAGGACTGGCATGTGGGGACTGACCTCCAACAACAGGCCCAGATCCAGTCTGCGGAGATCTCCCTTTTAGCCATCCTGGCTGCTGTTCAGGCGGTGGAGAAGAAAACAGAGTCCCAGGCTGTCCATCTTCAAAGCCTGGAAATACGAACAGGGTCAGCTGAGAAGAGGCTGGCTGACTTCGAGAAGACAGCCATGGAGCTCAGCAGCCAGCTGGAGGGCAAGTGGGCCGTGCTGGGGACCCTGCTGCAGGAGTACGGGCTGCTGCAGCAGCGGCTGGAGAACCTGGAGAACCTGCTGCAAACCCGGAACTCCTGGGTCCTGAGGCTGCCCGCTAGCAGCAAGGATGAAGCCCCCAAGGTATTCATAGAGTAAAGGGAGGCCTCCAGTCAACTACAGTGAACCTTAAGAGCTTTTTAAAATGTCAGGAGGGTGTGACATTGGCAAGTTGTCTGCTTAGGCAGTAGAGTGAGTTGTTGGGAAGGACATGTTTGAGCAACAGCAGTTATCCCAGAATGGTTCCCCCCACCTTTTTTTTTTTTTTTTAATTGAAAAGAATTGTTTTCAGTTGGTGGCACACATCTTTAATCCCAACACTCAGAGGCAGGGGCAGGTGGATCTTAGAGTTCAAGATAAGGCTGGTCTGCAGAGTGCCAGGATAGTCAGGACTACACAGAGAAACCTTGTTTCAGAGGGGAAAAAAAGAAAATGAAAGAAAGAAAAAAAAATTGTTTTCATACAATATATTTTGATCATGTTTTCCCCTCCCCCTAATTCCTCCCAGAGCCTTCCTATCTCCTTACCCACCCAAATTTACATTCTTTTCTCTCTTTTAAAGAACAACAACAAAAAAAAAAAAAAAAACCCACACCAAAACAGCTGGGCAGTGGTGGTGCACATCTTTAATCCCAGCACTTGGGAGGCAGAGGCAGGTGAATCTCTGAAAACTACACAGAGAAACCCTGTCTTGAAAACACATACACACACACACACACAAATAAAAAAAGGCAGATACCAAAATATACAAACAAAAGACTAATAAGACAAAAGCATGTCTAAACAAAGCAAAATTAAGCAAAGTTAATAAAAATACCATTTGATTTGTTTTATGTTGTCTAACTACTGGACGTGGGATCTGCCATGAAGTGTGGTTAAATATACCCAGTGAGATGCCACTGAAAAACTGCTCATTCCTTTGCTGTCAGCTATTAACTGCAGATAGCTTCTTAGTTAGGGGTGGGACTTCCCTCCATCTCTGCCAGTTCACATGGACATCAGCCTGGCTGTCTGGAGGACACTGCTGCCTCTGACTCCCACAGTCTTTCTTCCTCCTTTTCCACATCGATCCCTGAGCCGTGAGGGGAGGGCTGATGAAGATACTCCATTTAGAACTGAATGCTCCGGAGTTTCTCGCTCTGCAGGTTGTGGGTCTTTGCTAGTTCTCACCTATTACAGGAAGATGCTTCTCTGATGATGGCTGGATGAGGCACTGGTCTGCGTCTCAGCCTGGTGTGGCCACTGGGGATCTCTGGTAGAAAGTGTTCTGTATAGACAGCTGACAGAGGAATGGAGGTGGGCTGGAAGGGAAGGCCCCAGGATGACTTTCGAAAGAGGAAATCTAAGAAAGCGTCTCCATTCAGCTTCCAACCGAAGATGCTGGTGTGCACAGGAGCTGGGAAGACACTTTTCTGTGGAAATGTGGGCAGAGGCTAGCATTTGGTCAGTGGTGCCCATAATTTTGGAGCCGTTTCTGGCTGTTCTCTGAAAGGGTGTGGGGATTTGTATTCCTCCAGGTTTCTATAACTACTGAAGAGGTGGCTGAGTGTTTCCCTGAGCAACAGGAAGGCGGCCCGGAAGATTGGCAGAAAGAGCTCTGCAAGGACGTAGCAAAAGAGAGCCGGGAGGTGCTGGGTGCTCTGGGTAAGAGACGTCCCCGAGGCTTCCAAATGTGTTTCATTCTTTTCCTCGGTGTGTTGAGACCTTTGGATCTGAGAGCCAGAGCAGATTGGTCTTAGAGGCTTTAGAAGATATCTTTAATTCCCATCTTTAGAATTAAGTGTAGACATGTTTCTATTTTGTATGTATGGGTGGTTTTGCCTGCGTGTGTCTGTCTATGTATCTTATGCATGCCTGGTGCCTGCAGAGGCCAGATTACCTGGAACTGGAGCTGTAGATGGTTGTGAGCTGCCATGTATGTGCTCAGAACTGAACCTCTGAGTCCTCCAGAAGAGTGTTCAGTGCTCATAACCACTGGGCCATCTCCAGCCCCATGGGCATGCTTTGTGAAGATATCTCAGGTCTGAGAATTGAGGGCTCGCAGTAAACACTAGGTCCTCCAGCCTCATGTTCAGAAGTGTGTTTTTATGTGATACTTGATTAGATCTGGAATTTTGTAGCTACATCCCCAGCTCTTGCATCATCTTGGAGCTTGCAGGAAGGTTAAATTGCTTATCCAAGACATCAGTGGAGACACACAGATTAGAATCTGCTCCTCACTGTCCAGTTCCTCTCAGTTCATTTCTGTGGAGTGGAGGCCTCCCCTGCTTTGTTTGTCCCTCTAGGACTTAGTTTGTAACTATACCTATTCTTATTCCACCACTGAATTTTGCTGTCAGTCCAGGAACTGTGGGAAAGGGTCAAAAGTGAGGCAGATAGTTTATCACCTCCATCAGACCTCTGATGCCCTGTCTATGGCCGTGACCCAGCTCTTTACCCTGCCTCCACCAAGGTGTGTTCTCTTTAGGGAAGGAGTCTTAGTTTGCTATTTCCCTTCCACGCGGTGCTTGGCACACTCTAGGGTGACAAACAGCGAGAGTGAGAACTCAGTGTTCATTCTCCTCGGTAACAGCACTAAGGTGGAGTGCAGATCACAAAGCTGTTTGCTTTCCTTTGCTTTCCTGCTGCTAAAGACTGAACCTTGTGAACGCTATGGGAAGCCCCCTCACACTCCAGCCTTTTTTCCTGATAGGATCTTACTCTAACCCAGACTGGCCTGGAAGTTACTGGGTGACTCTGGCTGACCTTGAATTTGGGCCTCCTACCTCAGCCTCTGGAGTACTGGAATCTAGGTGTGAACCACCCTGGCTTTTTGAAAGGTGAAGAAATCCTTAGTTCAAATGAAAGAAACAATAGAAGAAGACCACTCCTGCTGAAAGGGGATAGATTCCCTGTTTGCTCAGAACAAAGGTACCATTCCATGTTGGAGGTGTGTGTGTCTGCATGTGCCTGTGGTGGCACTGTACACACGTGATGTTAGACCCCCTAGAAATGGAGCTAAGAATCAGTGGTGAGCATCCCCATGTAGGTGCTGGGAACCAAACCCAGGTCTGCTGTAATAATCCTCTCTCAAGCCCATTCCCTTGTTTTTAGATTTTTACTATTTTTGAGGAGAAAAGCCCTCATTTGAAGGGAGCTAAATTAAGAAAGAACACACTGACTGGTTGGCAAGTTGCACTGAGGTTAAAAGTGTTTTGGGGGTCCCTGCATGGGTGGGGATACCACAGAGAGGGTACAGTGCCAGGATACAGAAATCAGCCAATAGCACTTGAGAATGGAGTATAAGCAGGAAGGGCTTGCTTAGTAGTTAGTGGCACTTGTTGGTTCACTGAGGACCCATGAAATGGGTGTTGGCTGGTATGTCCTTGGAGGTGCCCAGAACTTTGCTGTGGATGGGTGTCCTCAGGGGACTTAGGACTGCCTAGCCTTGGATGGTCCTTGCTGTCTTACCAGTCACTCCTTCCTCCAATAGCTTCTCTACTGTCATTTGGTGTAAGCTCGCTTTATTTTCCAGAGGCAGCTCTTCCTGCCAAATTTCTGAGGATCTTCAGTTGGTAAGCATGGGCATTACAGTTTCAACATGTTTAAGTGATTTGGACACCTTGGAGTCTGAGAAGCTGGTTAGAGGTCACCTGGCAGGGGCTGACGGGCCTCCAGCCTTTAGATTATGAGAGGCTGGTTAGGGTCACCTGGCAGGGGCTGACAGGCCTCCGGCCTTTAGATTATGAGAGGCTGGTTAGGGTCACCTGGCAGGGGCTGATGGGCCTCCGGCCTTTAGATTATGAGAGGCTGGTTAGGGTCACCTGGCAGGGGCTGACAGGCCTCCGGCCTTTAGATTATGCAAGTGCATTTTTGTATGAATGTGTTTTTGCTCAGTAGTGCAGAGGTCAGACATTCTCTCTCTGGATACGGTCTTGCTATTAGATCTGGCTGGCCTAGAACTTACATAGACCAGCCTTGAGCTTATATCTGTCGTTCTGCCTCTGCCTTCTAAGTCCTGGGATTACAGTTGTGCACCACCAGGCTCAATTTAAAAGACATCTCGTGGACTGGAGAGTGCTCTGAAGCTAAGAGCACATGCTGCTATCTAAAGGCTCTGAGTATGATTCCAGCACCTGTACCCATATAGGCATCTGTGAGCTCCAGGGGATAACACCTTCTGTCCTCTGAGTACACTGCACTCATGTGCACAGATACATATGTACATATGTACAATATTTTTTAAAGCCTCTCTTTATTGGCTATCTCCCCCATCCCAAGCCCCTCCCAGCATAGCTGCTGTTCTTATTATTGGTGTACATACTCAGAGACCTCACAATGTGTGTGTGTAAGTTAGAAGATAACTTGTGGGAATCACTTTTCTCCTTCTAATATGTGGGCTCCAAGAATTCAACTCAGGTCATCAGACTTGGTAGCAAGTGCTTTACCCAGGTGGTATATTACTGTTGTCTTCGTTTTCCAAAGCTTGAAGTGCTTCATGTTAAAAATGGAATTTTCCAGCTGTTAGGTTAAAATTATGGAAGCAGCCTGTGTAGGGGAGGTGGGTACTTGTGGTTGTGGAGCATCTTCTTAGTATGATTGGACCACAGGTGCCACCAGAACAATGGAAAGCTGACCCTGTATTTCCAGGTCCAAACTTAGAACAATATTGAAGTATGTGATTGGTAGCTAGATAGTTGTGGCTTGAAATGGTTTCCTCTTTTAAGTTTCTTAACATTTATTCATTGGGGGAGAGCATGCATGATGTGCTGTGCTATGGATATGGATCTTAGAGATTGGAACAGACTAGTGAGGTCACTTGACCCTTGAAGGACACCTATCCTAGGGTACTGTGTTTCTTAGGCTGCCAGAGACTGATAAAACCCACATTCCAGCACTCAGGAGGCAGAAGCAGGTGGAACTCTGTGAGTTAGAGGCCAGCCTGGTCTACAGAGTGAGACCCTGTCTCAAAAAAAAAAAAAGAAAAGCTAGTAGGAACCGGGGTAGTGGTGCACACCGTGCACACCTCCCCTTTCTTCCCAGCCTGGTCTATAAAACAAGTTCCAGGATAGTCAGAGCCACAGAGAAACCCTGCTTTGGGGGGAAAAAAACCCCCAAAAAACTAGCAGGAGGGAAAAAATTGCCCTTTTCTCTTAGTACAATGCATTTATTTCCAATTTAACAAAGTTCATACTTATAGACTATAAATATTGATCCATTTAAATCTCTTGTAGGTTTTGTCTTTTCGCATACATAAATGAAGTAAGCTTCAGAGAGGTTGGGTAAATCATCAGAGATCATGGAGCTGGAAAAGTCTGAGCCTTTATTTAATCCTGTTGTTTATCTGCTTGAAGTGTTCTCAAAATATGGTGTGTATTCTGGAGGGATCTGTGGGCGCTGTTCTTCCCTGCAGGAAGACGGGAGTGATGAAAGGGTGCTGGCCGCGGTCATTCAGAAGCCCTGTACCTCAGCTCTCCTGACTCCTACCATACTGGATTTTAGTCACTTATTTATTCTGCCTTTCCTGGGCTCTGTGATTCTTTTGGGAGTTCCTTGTGGTCACCAGAGGTCGTGACATCTGATGCCCTCGGGGCTTCTTTTCCTTAGAACCAGGCCAGCTGGAATCCCCCCACAGTGTTCTCCCCTGGATCAAGCAAGAGGAAGAGGCATATGAGAAGAGTCTGCGAGAGACAACCAGTGCCTATCTGTGCTCAGGTGAAGCCCAGCGATAGGCTGTATATCTGGGTCTATGAACACCTCCAGGGGGCTTTCTGTATTCATGTCTGGAAGTGGCAGCGAGCAAGTATCCTGTGTTGTCCTGTTGTCTCTGCACCAGAATCAGAACCAGGGTGTGGTAGGCAGGCTTTCTCATTCTTGGTCTTGGTGGCACATATCAGGGGCTGCTGGGGAGCTGCTCTTGGGAGCCGTTGAAGTATCGATGAGAAGAGGCCTTAAGCAGAGGTATACAACTTAACCGTTAGGGCATTTGGATGACATGCAGATGGTACAGAGTGGGCCTCTGGCAGAAGGCAAGTGGGAGATACGTAGGTTAGGACCAGAGGGAGGCCTTCAGTGACAGGGTTGTGTGAACCTCAGGCCTTCCATACCAAAGAACAGGGGAATCAGGCAGCCCAGCGCCAGACCTGTGGCAGGAATGACTCATCTCTGTCTCTCCCCACCAGAAACCTGGCTAGCTAACAAGAAAAGGATCCTGGAAGGAGAGTCCGTGCTACCAGACCCAGCGTGGGCAACTGAAGGGAGCTCCAGCAAGGAGGACTTTGAGAGGAGAACCTGTGGGGACCTGCTCCCCGTTTCCAGAGAGAGAGAGGTGGCCTCCCTCCCCCGAGGCTCTCAGAGTCAGCCTGTGCCAGCTACTGAGGGCACCGAGAATGGCCAGGACTTCATTGTCAAAGAGCTCAGCACTCAGCATGCGCACCCACACCATGGATCTCCACCCTTTGCCAGTCTCCAGTGCCCCCAGAATGCCACACAGCAGGTCACTCTCACCAGGAACCGTCGTGCATCCACAGCCCAGCGTGCCTACACCTGTGTCCAGTGTGGCAAGAGCTTCGTCCACCAGTCAACACTTACCACGCACTACCGCACACACACTGGGGAGAAGCCTTATAAATGCGCTGAGTGTGAAAAGCGGTTTGGCCGCCTGTCCACACTGCTGGAGCACCAGCGCACCCACACGGGAGAGCGGCCCTTCCCATGTGCACAGTGTGGCCGTCGTTTTGGGCGCCTGTCCACACTGGTGGAACATCGGCGCACACACACGGGTGAGAAACCATTTCCATGCACCCAATGTGACAAGCGTTTCACACGCCTAGCCAATTTGACAGTGCACCAGAGTGTGCACTCTGGTGAGCGTGCTTTCCAGTGCACCCAGTGTGGCTCCTGCTTCACGCACAAACCTAGTTTCCTACGGCACCTGCGCAGCCACTCTCAGGAGAAGCGTTTTACCTGCGGCCAGTGTGGCAAGAGCTTCACCTGTCGCTCCTGGCTGGTGCGCCACCAGGGCAGTCATGCCCGCTCAGCCTCCGCTGCTTACGTGGCTGGTGAGAAGAGCTCACCAAGCTTTGAGTCACCTACAAGTCTCCTTAAGGGTGCAGCTAGGGGAAAGTTTTCCAGTGACCCTTCTATCGCCCCCAGATCCAAGGACACTAAGGCCAGTCAGGACCATAAGGCCTATGGCAGAGGTCAGCAGCTCAGCAACCATGGTCAGGAAGGTCTGGTGGGATCTCTGCATAGCTGTCTGTCTGTAAAAATGGAGAATGCAGGGTAGCACCCAGAGAGTCCCTAATGAGGTAACATAGGGCTTCTAGGTCCCCTTGAGCCCAAGCTGCCTCTCCTAAGGGACACTTCTTGGGTCAGATGTGTGGCACCTGCCATCTGTAGGCTTCCCAGGGGATGGTTCTCTCCCATGGACTGCAGGTGCTAAGTGCCCCTGAGATTCTTGCTGCTGCGAAGGTTCCTGTCCCGAAATGTTGCAGAAACAGAGGTAAAGGAAGAATGAAGCATGAGTATATCTGCCGGCAGCAGCAGAGGCCCTGACTCTGTGGCTCCCTGATAGCACCATCTCAGCAGTTCAGGCAGCAGTGTGCACTTTTCACCCAGCAAGGGCTGCTGACAGTTAGGATTGCTACAATTTTGAAAAGTTGAGTTGTTCTGCTTCCATCTGAGCAACTCTATTCAAATAGTTTCCAAGAGTTCCAGAGGGCAGGGCTGGGAATGTGACTTACCATTGTTCATCTGGCATGCACGATGAAACCATGGTTCAGTCCCCACTTCAAGTTATAAACTGGCTGTGAGGGCACCTACCTGTGATCTAGCATTCCTGTTAATGCTGAAGGGTCAGAAGTTCAAGGTCACGTCCCTGTTTAAAGAAACAAAATATCCCGTAGGAGTTCAAGGACAGAGTTGGCAAATACCCCACGTCTCGCCAGTGGCCCCGTGTTTTGAATAAATGCATGTGTGTTCCCGAGGGCTCCTGGAGGGAACTGTGTCATCGTCTCCGCTTTGGAAGAGTATGGCTAAGAGACCTGTGCTGCTCGCTGTCTCTCTGGTCTCTGTCTATATCTGGAGGTAGTTTTCACATATTCGCTTAAAACCTACAAATAAATGTTTAGGAAGAACTGTAAACTCTCCCCCTTGTCCTGATGATCCTGCCAAAGTTTGCTTGTTTATTTTGCAGTAATATTATTTAGCTCCAGATTTGGGTAACAGTGAGTTATTTTCAACTGTGTGTCCATGTTGAAATTCTGAAAGAAAAAATGATGCAAAGCACCATGGAGTCAGGCTTGGGTGGGGTGGCTGATGGCCTGAAGGGCACTGTGTCTGGGCCATTGAAAGTACAACTGCCTGCAGCTCTGGCCTCGATGGACACACACACATGAAGCGTGTACATGTCTGTCACGTGCACGTAAATACAGAAGCTGTGGAATGGGTGGTAAGTGCTGTCCATAAGGTGGCCCCGTACACTATTCACTTCCCGCCTCCATATTTATATATTAACTTGCATTAATCCTGAGGTCTATTGATTATAAGATAACCTTTATTTTCTACTTCTCTAAGCAAAAAAAAAAAAAAAAAAAATCTGTAGCCCTGTCCTTATGATTTACCAATGCAAGTTAAGTGCATCCCAGCTGCAGCTGTATTCTCAGTGTGAGCAAAGTGTCAGGCTCTCCTGGGGAGATCTTGAGCAGATGTCTCCCCCCTCCCCAAGTGCTAGTGGCACCTCACTGTTACTTTGCATCCTTTTGAGCCCTTTACATGACACACATCCCACACTCAGCGTGGACCCTCATAGCGACCCCAGTGCCATTTTAAAGGTCCCATAGTAGCCGGGCATGGTGATACACGCCTTTAGTCCCAGCGCTGGAGAGGCAGAGACAGGCTGAGCTCTGGGTTTGAGGCCAACCTGGTCTACAAATCAAGCTCTAGAACAGCTAAGTCTTTACACAGTGAAACCCTGTCTCAAAAAGCAAATAAGAGCCGGGCGGTGGTGGCGCACGCCTTTAATCCCAGCACTCGGGAGGCAGAGGCAGGCAGATGTCAGTGAGTTAGAGACCAGCCTGGTCTACAAGAGCTAGTTCCAGGACAGGCTCCAAAACCACAGAGAAACCCTGTCTCGAAAAACCAAAAAAAAAAAAAAGCAAACAAGAAAACCCACCCTTAGCATGGAAAGTACTCCTTGATGAGCAAATGCCTCCGTAGAACACAAGTCCCCAGCTGCTCTGTCATACTAGGGGGACAAGGACTTTGAAACTAGGCCTGTTCTGCAGTGCCTTCCTCAGGGAAGCATCACTTCCCAAACACCTGTTAGGGTGAGGACACCAGGGGTCCTCCCTCACAAAGGGCCTGCATCTGGTTGCATTAATCTCAAAGAATGAACAAGTGTTTTGGGAAAGTGCTATGGGAGCTAGGACTATAGAGCCTGGTAGAATGTTTGCCTAGAATTCACAAAGCTGTGGATTTGATCCCCAGTACCATATAAACTGGCAGCTATGGTGTAGACCCGTAATCCCAGCAGTTGGCATGTGGAGGCCAAATGATCAAGTTCATCCTTGGTTTCATAGGGAATCCAGGGCCAGCCTCACAACTTGAAATGCTGTCTTAACAAGTCCTGAAGCCAGCCTGGACTATGTAGTTTGATCACCTCAGAAAAAAGTCTTATGTGACAGGAACTGAATGTTTGAAAACGGGAAGTGGGAGTGCTCAGGGACAGGGCAGGAACGACAATCTAGTCCAGTGCGAAGGTGCTGGAGTTTGACTAGTCTGAAGTTTGAAGCCTGAAGATGTTGGGTTTGGGAGAGCTGTGGAGAGAACAGGTCCCGTGTCTGAAGCTGTGGAGCTGGTAACGAAAGAAAAGCTTTTCCCTCTCTGCTTGATCTACCCAGAAACGAGGCAGTCCTGCACACACAAAGGCCAACCCAGGCTTTCCTCACCGTGATGGACCATATGTTCTTATACTGTGACCTAAGATAAATCCTTCCATTAGATTGCTTCTGTAGATGTTCTGCCAGAGTACCACAAAAATAACTACTGTATTCCCCTTCTGCTCTTTTGTTACTTAGATATGCTGAGTCCATGTCTTGCATTGCAGTAGCCCAGGCTGGCCTGAAGCTCCTGAGGTTTACGGTGTGAGGAACCCTGCTTGACTTCACTATTTACATTGGCCCTTCCTCTTTCCCTTCTTTGGCCTCGTTTCTTCATAGCCCTTTGTCTGGCCTACAGCCATTTAATTATCTTCCTCCAGGACAAAATACACAAGACCGGGTCCTTTTGTTCCTGAACAAAACCGCCTGACCTGCCTTAGATAATTACCAAATCTATTCACTAAGGAGTGGACAGATAAGTGTTGTAAAGGCACTGGGTGTGGTGGCACACACCTTTAGTCCCAGCTCTCCAGAGGCGGAGGCAGGCAGATCTCTGTGAGTTCGAGGCCAGCCTGCTCTACCTATTGAGTTCCAGGCCAGCTAGTGCTACAAAATAATAATACCTTGCCTCAAAAGCTATGAAACCTGGCAAAGCTGAGGCGGACACTTGGGGTAAGATAGCAGAAACGTATGTTTCAGAAGAAAGCTGTACTATACCTTTTATTCCGTTATAGCTCTTCATTCTCGACTTATTTTAACGCATCTAGTTTCTTCTATATTTGCTTACAAGTCTCACCCCTGTCATCATCTGGTTAGTGCAGGTGGTTAACTTTAGGCTTGAGTTTATAATTGGAAACCATTATACAAACCAGGATTGCCAATATGCTGCTACAATGTCCCTGTACTATTCCTTTTAAGACGGGTACCTGTTACCTGTCAAATTTCTATAGAAATAAAATTATCTGAATCATGTTAGCCCAGTGCTTTGAAGTCGGCACCTTGGAGCAGTGAAACTGAAATAATAATAAGTTTTAGGCAGTCATAGACTGAGGGCCATTTCTTCTGAACCTTGTTGCTCAGAAATGGCTAAGAGAGTTGCAATGGGATGGAGAGATGGCTCAGTGGTTAAAACTTCCAGATGGGCCTGGGTTTGATTCCCAGCACCCACATGGCTTCTCGTGCCTTACCTATGACTCCAATCCCCAGGTCCAGGGGCTCTGAGACTCAAAACCACAGAGAAACCCTGTCTCGAAAAACCAAAAACCAAAAATAAATAAATAAATAAAAATAAAGTAAAATGTATTTGGCCATTGTGATAGCTCAATGAGTAAAGGCAATCAGTTGCCACCCCACAACACAGCCCGATGACTTGAGTTGGGTCCCTGGAATCCACATTAAGACAGATGGTGAAAACTCACTGTGAAAAGTTGTTCTCAGTCATGTGCCATGGCGTGCAGGGTCCCCCCTCATACTCACGCATACACACATTTTAAGATAATGTGTGTGTGTGTGTGTGTGTGTGTGTGTGTGTGTGTGTTGCATGCATTTGAGTGGGTGCCTGAATGTAGTGGCCTGAGCAGGACACAAAGTGTCTTCTTCTAACTCTCCACCTTGCCTCGAGACAGAGTTGTTCATTAAGCCAGAAATCTGTTGTTTCTGATAGGCTCTTGGGATCCCACTGTCTCCACCCTTCAAGGTTGGTTTCAGGCACCCATAGCCATTCCTAGTTTTTTATGTTGTTTCTGGGGATTCAAAGTGCTAGGATTATGAGCTTAGGTTCCTATGCTTGTGCTCTTATCCACTGAGCCATCTCCCCAGTTCCAGTTTTAATGGAGTGCACAACTGTGTGTGTGTTTTCCAGGATGGTCTTGAACTCCTAGACACAAGGGACCCTCCTGTCTTGGCCTCCTGGGTGGGTATCACTACAGGCAATGCTATTGCCATGATAAACTAGTCTACTAGGTCTGATGCGGCCCAGGCTGGCCAAGGATGACCTTGAATTCTTGCTTTTCAGCCTCCATCTGCCTATTTAGAGGCTGTGTCACCTAGAGCTTCATGAACACTAGGCAATCACTCTACCAACTGAGTTATACCCCGTTGTTTATTTTTTATGTTTATGTGGGAACACAGATGACAAGTGGGGGAAGAACAGAGGCGAAAGGGACAAGGTATTCCATAGCACACAAAAGAAAGTTCCTAGAGCACATTGCAGCTTTGTTCTTTTTTCACCTTCTTCCTTTTGAGATGGGTAATAAGTAATGGGAAAGGTGGCCTGGTGATTAAAGTACTTTCTGCTCTTCCAGAGGACCTGGGTTTGGTTCCCAGCATCCACATGACATCTCACAACCATACACACTCTAATTCTGGAATATTCCGTATCCTTGTCTAGCTTCTGCAGGTACCAGGCACTCCCATGTGCACACACATATACATAGGCAAAATACCCATGTACATAAAATGATAAACTTTTTTTTTTTTTGGTTTTTCGAGACAGGGTTTCTCTGTGGCTTTGGAGCCTATCCTTGAACTAGCTCTGTAGACCAGGCTGGTCTTGAACTCCCAGAGATCCGCCTGCCTCTGCCTCCTGAGTGCTGGGATTAAAGGCGTGCGCCACCATCGCCCGGCCGCAAAATGATAAACTTTTAAAAATTATTTTTATTGATTTTTTTGTTGGATGCAGGCTTTCCTTATGTAGTCCTGACTGGCCTGGAACTCACTCCATAGACTTTGCTGGCCTTGAACTCAGAAATTTATCTGCTTTTTCCTCTTTTATGAAAATAATAGACTTTAAAAATATCATAAAAATATATAGGTGGTGTTGTTGGTTGTTTTTTTTTCTCTCTTTTGACTCTCTTTGGGGCCCACCATGCAGTTCCCAAATAAATCACATATGGAGGCTTATTCTTAGTTATGAATGACCAACCTTAGCTCGGCTTGTTTCTTTCCAGCTTTCTTTCCTTAAAGTATCCCATCTACCTTTGGCCTTGGGACTTTTATCTTTCTTTATTCCTGTACACTTTTTCTTTTCTTTTAACCCCATGTCTGACTGTGTAGCTGGGTGGTTGGACCCTGAAGATTTCCTCCTTTCTTTCCTGTTCCCAGTTTTCCTTCACCCAGATTTCTCCTCTCTGCCTGCCAGCCCCTCCTATTTCTCTCTCCCACCTTACTATTGGCCGTTCAGCTCTTTATTAGACATCAGGTGTTTTAGACAGGAACAGCAACTTCACAGAGTTAAACACAACATAAACAAAAGTAACACAG